AATTATAAGGGACCTTTTTTTTTTTTTTTTTAATTTTTGCATGAATATTGCATTTAAAATAAAATAATTTAGGGAAAATGTTGGCTCAAGTGGTCCATTTTATTTATTGCAAATTAGATATTTTTTTTAATGGAAACAAAAATTAACTAAATGGACAATATTTAAGAGCTTAAATGACTTAAATGTGAAGCCAACAACTTGAATGATAAAGTAATATTAATGATGGTCGGTGTTAATTTAGGTACGTTTTCAAAAAAAATATAAATATATATGATTGAAATTACTTTCTTTAATTATTATAGATTAAATTACTTAATTAGTCTCGAGGTTAATCATTACATGTTAATTTATTTTAATTATTAATATTAATTTTTTGTAAATTAAAAATATGTAAAAATTGATTAAGATATTTTTATAATTTAAAAGTTTAATTAATCTAATTTTGAAGTTGTGAAATTAAAAAATAAAATGATAGGATGAGTAGTTTTTTTAAAAAAAATAAAAAAGAAATGATATAAAAGTGCCACGTGGGAGCCACGTAGGGCAAAGAGATGGGAGAAGTGGTAGCGCGAAAAGCAAAATTTGTACGTTGGCGGGTTTGATGTGTAAGGAAGAGGAGAAAGAAGTATGGTTCCATTTTATCCACTCTGCTATATTTCCCCCTCCCATGTTACGATAAGCCTTTCTGATGAAATTCATAATTCTAAGTTCTTTCCAATTCCAATTCCGTTTCTTTCTCTCTCGCCATTCTGTGTTCTTCCTCCTTCCCTCCCTTCAATCTCTCTGCCCCACTGTCACTTCTTTCTACTCTTTTGATTCGCATTTCTGATTCATCAGCTCCTCATTTTTATTTTTACATTTTTTTCCTAGACTATCTTTTGATTGTTTTTGTTATTTTTCTTCCCCTTTGAAGACTTTTCCCCCTTGCCTGGGGTTTAATTGGCGGAAAGTAGTCGGGATTTTGTTTTTTTTGCTCGCTAAATCTCGCTCTGCATTTGAATTGGTGAATTTTGGGTTGAATTCCGGAGGTTTTGGCTGTGATCCGACCTTTTAATTCTAAGATCTGCTCTGTTTCGCTGGTCAATATTGATCTGGTTAGTGTTTTATTCAGCAACGGGTTTGGATCCGATCGAGGAAGAAACAGCGCCATCCGATGGCGCTGTTCAGAAGGTTCTTTTACAGGAAGCCGCCGGATCGGCTTCTTGAGATATCCGAGAGAGTCTATGGTACGCTTCCTTACAATTTTCTTTTTCCCATCGAGATTTCGTGTTGTTTTTCCTTTTATGCAGCTTCCCCCCAATGCTAAGCTATTGAAGAATGTTAACTTCTGGCGTCATTTGTTTACGTGCGTAGTTAGGCGATTGCTTATTTTTTCTAGCTTTATGCAAGCTCAATTCTCGATGATAATGGCCAATAGGGACAATGCTGTAATAAACCCTTGAAGTTTAGGTTTAGCTGCTTCGTAACGCAATAGTTCTGATGCAGACTATCGGGTGTACTTAATTTCTTCGGGATTTTATTTTTGCCCCGTACTTCTATTTCTCCTCGACCTGGGCTGTGGAATGTGACGGAAACAGCCTCCTATCCCCGTTGACACGCTTTTTCTCTCGCTCGCACTCATCGCACTTAACGCGGTTGCCTGTCTGGTCATATCAAATACTCTAATTAGAGGAGTAAGAATCTACATTGATTTATACCAATAAAAAAAGGACGATTCCAGACTTCAACTAAATGATGCATGGTGCTAGAGAAATGTACAGTCACGATATTAATACTTTTGGGACATGAGTTGAAAGAAAGGCCCACTTCTTGAGGTGGTCGACATTTTGCTTTTACAGATTTGAACAATGACAACTACATGATATTCTATTATGTTGTTCCTATATTTGTAGTTTCGTTTATCATAGGGGGCTTTGTACGTGACCTGAGAAGGTTCAAGGCTCAATCTGTTTATGAGTTCTTTATCTGTATCAATGCTTGTTCCATTAGTTTAGTAATGGCATTGTTATGAACAAGAGGCTAGTTTTGCTGCTCTGTGAACTTATTTCTTCTCTCTCGAAGAGAGCTGCTTACTGTTTTGTGGTCCAATTGTCGCGTTCTTCTATTTATCTGACCGTCAAATTCATGCCCACCAGAACCTAGTTGAACTGTTATATGGGAATGCCTTTTTGTACCAGTTTGCAGAGTGGTGGCGTTACACCACTCTGTAATTGAGTTATGGTGATGGCTTTGGGTTGCAATCAGATATTCTCTTTTGGCTACCTATCAATATGGATATTTTGATAGCAACTTGTGAGATGGTTTTTAACAGTGGCACATGGTAACATGTTATGCTTATTATTTGTTTTCAGTGTTCGATTGTTGCTTCTCCACGGAAGTGTTGGAAGAAGAAGAATATAAGGTCTACTTGGATGGCATTGTAGCACAGTTACAGAGCCACTTTCCTGATGCGTCTTTCATGGTTTTCAACTTCACAGAAGGTGGTAAGCGAAGTCAAGTTTCTGATGTACTGAGTCAGTATGACATGACAGTTATGGACTATCCTCGGCAATACGAGGGATGTCCTTTATTGCCATTGGAGATGGTTCACCACTTCCTTCGATCAAGTGAAAGCTGGTTGTCGCTGCAGGGTCAACAGAATGTGTTATTGATGCATTGTGAAAGGGGAGGATGGCCTGTTCTTGCATTCATGCTAGCTGGTCTTCTGTTGTACAGAAAACAGTACAGTGGGGAGCAGAAGACTCTTGAAATGGTCTACAAGCAAGCTCCTAAGGAACTTCTCCATCTCTTATCTCCTTTAAACCCTCAGCCTTCCCAGCTGAGATATCTTCAATACATTTCCAGGAGAAACTTAGGTTCTGATTGGCCTCCGGCAGATACACCCCTAGTTTTGGATTGTTTAATACTTAGAGTTCTACCTCTTTTTGACGGGGGAAAAGGGTGTAGGCCTGTTGTGCGTGTCTATGGTCAAGACCCCTCAATACCGGCCAATAGAACTTCAAAGCTTTTATTTTCAACATCTATCAACAGAAAACATATCCGAAACTACCAACAGGTAATGACTCAGCAACACAAAATCTTAAAGCTGAAATTAACCAACATTTAAGTTTTCTTATTCATTGTTACCACAGGAAGAGTGTATGCTGGTGAAAGTTGATATTAATTGCCATATTCAAGGGGACGTAGTTGTTGAATGCATCCATTTGGATGAAGATCTAGTACACGAGGAGATGATGTTTAGAGTTATGTTTCACACAACATTTGTTAGATCAAATATTATAATGCTGAACCGTGATGAAGTTGATGTTTTATGGGATGCAAGGGACCAGCTCCCTAAGGACTTCAGAGTTGAGGTAAGTTGTTGGGCTTCTTTTGTGAATGCGCTTTTGTGAAGTTATAAAAGTTAATACGAGATTGCATTTATGTCAGGCACTCTTTTTGGGTGCTGATGCTGATGTCGTTGTCCCCAATCTTACCACAACCTTTGATGATGAAGATGAAAATGAAGCTGGAGTTGCTTCTCCTGAAGAATTTTTTGAGGTTGAAGAGATTTTCAGTAATGCAATGGATGGGCAGGAAGCAAAGGGATCCAATCATCCTCAATTGATCAATCGTGCAGACCGTAAAGCAGATAGGAAGGAGGACTTTGATCCGCCTGCATTCCAAGATTGTGCAACTGATGATGGAAATCTCAAGCATGTGAAGAAATCAGATTTTGATGCAGTGAAGGACATTGCTGTGGATGATGTGAAGTACAAGCTGGATGAAAATATATATTCCAACCTTAATGCTGTTAAGGACATTGCTGTGGATGATGGGGATATGAATTCAAATTCCTTCCTGGTTGCTGCTGCTAATGTCTTGACTCATGTGAAAGCCCAGGGGTTGGTAGATGCCGCATATGGAAAAGTTGAAGATAATGAAGAAAAGGATGATGGAAGAGGTGCTGCACCTGCGAAATTGGAAAACAAGGTTCTTCAGAAAAAGTTGAGTGCTGATGGTTCTAGACAAAAATCTGAAAAATTGCAAACACCAATCCCCAAGAAACAGCCTATCCCAAGTGGAAAACCTACCACTGATATGGTTTCAGCCAAACAGAAAGTCAAACAACAAGAGACTCAAGGTTTTTCTGCAAAACAAGCAAAGCCGAATGCAGCTTCTAGGTGGATTCCTCCTAACAAAGGCTCTTATATGAACTCTATGCATGTATCCTATCCTCCTTCAAGATATAACAGTGCCCCAGCTGCTTTGGCCTGTATTGCACCATCAAAGGATACAAGTGCAAATTCCAAAACAAAGGGTGCTGCCACCCTTGATTCTCTGGTTTCTACATATTTATTTAGTGAACGAAAAGATCAAAAAGTGGATTCTGTAAGGTCTTCACACTCTGCACCTGGGGAACTCATGCATGGCGCACCATCTCCAGTTGAGTCAATTGAGGAAGCAGATTCTTCCTCTGAAACTCCAAAACCATCACAAAGTGATTCACAACTTGAAGTAACACCTCCTCCCCTTCCCACAAAACCTCCATCTCCACATTTACCATCACTCCCCAGGGTAGATGCAATACCTCCTCCACCTCCTCCACCACCCCCATCCTTGCACCATATGGAGTCGACATACTCTGTTCCACCACTTTCTGTGTCTTTAGCACCACCACCCATTGCTAACTCATCAAAGGCAGTGACTCCCCCTCTCCCTCCCCCTCCTCCATTCAGTAGGCAGAACAGTGAGATACTTTTGCCCATTTCTTCTACACAGTCATCATGGGAGCAAAGATATTCTTCTGTTTCTAGTGTAAAGGTGGCTGGTTCTGTACCTCCTCCACCTGCACCCCCATCTCGACCTCGACCTCACTCTGTGGCCATGCCATCTACATTAAAGAATATTGCAAGTATTCCTCGTGTACCTGTTGTATCTCCTCCTTCAGCATTTCTTTCATTGGCATATAAAGGTATATTGCTATCATCACCCCCACCTCCCCCTCTTTCTAGGATACATGAACTACTTTCTCCACCATCTTCACCACACCTGCCTGCTCCAATATGCGGTGGTAAAACACCCCCACCTATTACTTCAGTTCATAGTGCACCCCCACCCCCACCTATTACTTCAGTTCATAGTGCACCCCCACC